ATGCTGGGGCACCTGGGTGTCTAGGTCGGTTAAGGTCCAACACTTGATTTCTGCTCAAGTCATGATCTCAGGGTTGTGAGATCAAGTTCTGTGTCAGGCTCTGCACTGGCATGGAGCCTGCTTAAGATTCTCTCTCCTCTCCCTACCCCTGCTTGTGTCCTCTCTCTCTTTAAATAATTAAATAAATAATTAAATCTTAAAAAAATTTTTTTTGCTAACTTAGGCCACACAGAAATACAAGGGGTAAATTTCCTTCGTGTATTGTGTATGCAGTACTAACAAATAAAAAAAATAGGAAGAAAATAGAAACATATTCAAAATTTGAAGATGGACATATAAAAGTATAAACTAATGTCACTTAAAGGTGCTCAACCTCACACATCTTAGAAATGCATTTTAAATGGCAAGCACATAAATTCTTCCAATTATTCCAATAGTAAAGACTGAAAGCCAAAGGATGGTGAATAAATAACTGTAGTCTGAGGTGATTTCTATAGGCAGAATTGCAAAATAGAACTTGTTTTGGGAACAACAGAGCTAACACACATCTGAGCTCAAAACAAAACAAAACAAAATGCAATTTCTTGTTGCAGGAACTGAATGCGGAACTTAAATCAACAAAATGAGTGGAAATTGAAAAGAGAGGGTTCTCCAGGGAAAGGCATAAGACTTAAGCACAGGAACTTGGGAATGAAATCCTCACAAGGGGAAGGAGGAAGGAGACTGGACACTAATACTTTTCAGATTCAACACCTTCATCAGATTATTGTGTATTCTCGAGATTTTTTAATTTTTTAATTAATTTTTTTATTCCTTTAAAAGAATACGTGTATGTATCATTCCAACCCCTTTATTAAAACACAGTGGCTTACTTAGTTCCCTATTCTTCACTTTGCTATTGCCATTTAATAAACTTTCTTGGATGACCTTCTATACTAGTACCAACAGAACTAGCTTATCCTTTTAATGGTTGCACAGTATTCCACTCATTGGATATTGAGGTCATTTCAGATCCTTTGTTGGTATGGGTTTGTTTCTATTCACCCTGCTCAGGAGTTAGCTTGGTTCTTTAATCTGAAGACTCAAGGAAATTCTTAGCCATCATCTCTCTTCATACATTGCCTCTCATACGTTTTCTCCAGTCTTTCTGCAGATTTTTTAAAATTTTTTTTAGTTTCTCATTCTAAAGTTCATGGCTTACATAAACTTTTATGTTTTTCACCCCTTTCTGCGTGTGCTGTGTTCTGATGACATTCTCTTTCAATTCATCTTCATCTATTCTATTGTTCAATTGGTTAATTGATTTTAATTTTAAATATGCTCTTCTTAAAATTTTGTAACTCCTATTTGATTCTTTTGCAAATCTACATTTTTTAACACCACATCCTGTTCTTGACTTATAATTTCCATTCCTTTACTTAAAAACCACATGATAATTAAAAATAGTTTTGGATTTTTTGGAAGGGAACCTGGGTGGTGCAGTAGTTAAGTGTCCAACTTTTGATTTTGGCTCAGATCATGATCTCAGGGTCATGAGATTAAGCCCTATGTCAGGTTCTGTGCTGGGCGTGGAACCAGCTTTAGATTCTGTTTCCTTCTCCCTCTATTCCTCCCCCACTCAAAAATAAGTTTGGATTTTTAAATCTCTAAATTATGCTTTCCCCTATCATGGTCTATTTACTCAATAATTTAACATTTTGAACTAAAATCTCTTCTTTAATGAGAGTGGTTTTATTGAAAGTCTCATGCATTCTGGTTTGTGGGAGTGTCCCAACAGAGCTAAGTTCTAACACTGGCCCCTGTTAGACAGTAGTGATATCCCCCAGTCCCCTTTATGTTTTATTTTATTCTAATTTCTCCGGTTGGGGTAGCTGTACCACATGATAGCACAAATTCAAAATCGAATCCTACAGGAAGCAAAAGACTTCTGTTCAAGTGGGTGAAAAGAAAATTCTTTTCTTTTTTTGGACCTAGAGCATCAGGGATATGAGGGGATATGATTTTCATTCACAACACTTGAATATTTTAACATATGCCTAAATTAATTCAATCAAAAGCATATGTATAAACATATATCTTTATATCTAATCAAAGTTTCAGAAAACTTTACATGAAAATTAAGTTAGAAAAAAATTTGAGATTCAAGCAAACCAATGTGGTTTAGTCCAAGATAAGAGTCCTGTTTGAATGCTAAATATGGAGGAGAAATGAGATTATATATGTTTCCAAATTTTCATTCATTAAAGTGGCTCACATTTTATTAAGTAGGGAATGTACTTTGGTAACCTAATGTACTGGTATCAAGTTATGCAGGTGAGTTTTCCAATAGTGTGTATATATGAATATTGAACTATAAACAAATTCTATTTCCTGGGAAGTCTTCATTTCCATGATGGAAAGTAGTAAGGTAAAAATCTATTAACTCTTGCTTTCAGTTTTTAAAATGCCAAGAAGAATTCATTATGATTTTTAAAAAATGTGAGATGCTAAGAGATTTGAAACAAAATTTTGGTATAATAATATTAATAGGCTAGCAAATAAAAAGCTATGAATACTAATGCTTACCTACATTTATTATATATGTGTGGGTTGGAATATTAAACAGTTTTATTATTTACTTTATATTTTTTCCAGATTCTTTTTTACTTTACCATTATTCAAAACCTAGATAAATGCAAAGGTGGCAAAGAATGCCACAAGTAATTGAAGGGAAAATGTAGGAAGTGTCAAATGTAGTTGTCATTGTAAATAAAGAATAACCGTGGGGTTATTAGGATTATGAAATATTTATAGTAACATAAATTACACTAATTATTAATACTTCACATGTCAAGGTTAGAAAGGGCAAGGATGGATGATAACACAAATATTAGAGTCATTCTTAAAGAAACATTCATCATTTTTATTTTTGGCAAGAATTCCACAAATGAATAGATCTACATTTTACGTATCTGACTATTAAACAGCTATGTTTACTGATGGGCATTACAACCTTCCCCAGTGGCTGATGCTCCTTTCTATTTGAATAATTTCTCATTAATGAATTTTGCCTCCACTACAGCCCTATACACTTGTTAAACCGTATTTCCTATATAATGTCCTACTGGTATCAGAAACATCTGGGATTGAATGGGAGCCACAGTGGGAGTTTCCCAGGTATCATCACAGCCCTGTTCTCTGAACCACAAACAAGGGCCTGAGACATAACCCCAGTGGAATGCCGTGAGACACATGACACATACATCTCTTCAACTTTGCATCTACCTAAAACATCAGCATGACTCGGGTGTGAGGACCTGAGGCTAAGAAACAGGGTATGCCTATGTCTGGAGACACAGTTCAGAGCTTTGCAGACATATTGAGCTCTCCACAGCTATTTTCAGTAGTGTTTCAGTCACACATAACTTTGTGGGCTAGTCTGGGCTAGTGGCACCATTAATAATATCAATTATACAAGAACATAAATTCTGTATTCTAAAGAACAAATTTAAAATTTTAACATATTCATGTTAATAATGGCTTATATTGAGAATTTTATGTTTGTTATTTAATCTTCAAAAATAAACATGTAAGGTAGTTGCACTTTTAAAATATTACCAATGAACAACTGAGGTTTGAGAAAAGTAACTTAGTTTTCATAAGATGATTATTTTAAATTTTTACCATTGAAATTAACTTGTGATTGACCTACCATTTATAAATAGATAACTTAGATGTTTAGATTTTGATCAATGGTTGCACATTGAGGTTGATATTAATGGTAGGAAATGCATGGCCGGCCTTTGCTTCTCCACCATCACATGAACCTGACACACGGCTGACTTGAGCGAGTCCAAAACTGAGCCTGTACTTACTTTCCTCATTCAAACAAATATTTTTTTAATGTTTATGAGGCAATGCAAATTTAAGTTCAGCTTAATAAAATTCTAAGTAGAATCAATTATTGTTTTCTATAATCAATTATTTTATTCTATAATCAATTATCAGTCTAATAAATCAACTAAATTCTTGGCTAGATTAATCAGACATCATTTTCATTCCATGCATTTAGACTCATGTAAAATACCATCATCTAATTTTGAAAATTCCTTCTAACTTTTAGATCAATTAAACATAGGTCTCCCATATAAAAATAGGTATTTGAAGGGACACATGAACCCCAGTGCTTATAGCAGCCGTGTCCAAACTAGCCAAACTATGGAAAGAGCCCAGAATCCATCAATGGATGAATGGATAAAGATGTACACACACACACAATGGAATATTACTCAGCCATCAAAAGGAATGAAATCTTGCCATTTGCAATGATGTGGATGGAACAAGAGTGTATTATGCTAAGTGAAATAAATCAGTCAAAGACAAATACCATATGATTTCATTCAAATGTGGAATTTAAGAAACAAAACAGGTGAACATAGAAGAAGGGAAGGAAAAATAAAATAAAATAAAAATGGAGAGAGAGGCAAACTATTGACTATAGGGAACAAACTGAGGGTTGCTGGAAGGCAAGTGGGTCAGGGGATCAGGTAATTGGATGAAAGGCATTAAGGAGGGCACTCGATGTAATGAGCACCGGGGGTTATATGCAACTGATGAATCACTAAATTCTATCCTTGAAACAAATAATACACTATATGTTAACTAACTTGAATTAAAAAAAATAGGTTTCCCACATGTTAAGATACAGTCAAACTATCTTATGTAAATATCTCTCCTAGGCCTTCAACATTATATTTAAATAAATATATGTATTTTGTCAAATACAGTTTTGACTTAGTTTACTTAGATTAATTTTTTTTAAAAATGCTTTTAATATGATCAGAGAAACAGATATATCAAATAATATGAAAGAAGTCTAATAAATTATGTATATTCCTGGAGAGCAAATGATAGTGCCAATTATTTCCACATATAAATTAAATGTAATCAAGATTATCTTCGATAATTGATAAAATGAAAGAAATATATGATTTGTCTCTCCAAATATTTTTCCCTCTTACCTGCTGGTTTACAGGAAAGTTTCTGTTGATTTTTTTAATCTGCAACAATAAATAAATAATAAAAGTGAGAACAATAAACATAAGGTTACACAAGAGCCCACAAATTTTATGAGACTCTATTTTTAGTGAGTTCATATACCGATATTCTAAATTGACATACTAAAATCACTGCATGTCAAACACCAATTACAATTTTTCTTTAAAATTTGGCTATCAAAAGTATTCCAAATTTGATATGTAAACATTTTGAAAAAGATTTTCATCTAGAAATGTTTTCATTTATGAGAAATGAAAAGCTTGTCCTTCCATATAATGTTAAATAACAATCTATGGAGAATATAGAGTAACTTTAGTAATTTATTTCTTCATTTTGAAATATTATATTCAATTTATTTTAACACTCAAGAGAACAGAGGAAATAGAATACTCAAATACTAAAAGACAAAGTACATGTGCCAAAATATTTTCATTTGGGACCCTAAATAAAATATAATATTTACTTTAAGATAATTTAATGAGTGACATTTCAAAACAACTTAAAATCAATCTTCGGAGAAAGGATTTCCCCCTTCATATAAACAAATGTCAAAATCCAACTGAAAATGAATATCAGATTTAGACAAATGACCTTATAACACACAAAGTCTTTGTTCAACAGAATTTTTACTAATTAAAACCAATTTTTATTTTTCATTGATTTACTAGATAACTTAAAGAATGCTAACTCTGTACGATATAATCATACACCACACTAAACACAGACTGTTTTCACTCAAAAATTGTTTTACTGAGTTATTTTACTGTTCCTTCTTTGTTAGTTTTGGTTCTTTGTCTTACTGATAAATGTGAAATGACAGGAAATTTAATGGATATGGTGCACAAAGTTGGAGAATCATTAAATGGCTCTGTACAAGAAAAGACTTACTGGCAACATATGTATCATTTAAAATAGGTAAGAAAAGAAAACTTGAGAAGATTTATGTGATTTCAGCAGGGACATGTACAAAAAACATACATCTTTCTTACATTGCTATAGTCATTTCAAAATAGTTTTTGTTTTGGTGAGGAATCAGCTAAAGAAATCTCTAAAACTACTGGTATCTTCAACTAAAATCAGGATAGTTAAAAAAACAGCTTCCTAAACACCTTTTATTAATCCGTAAAAAAAATCTATATTGAATACTTCGTGAAACTATGCTTTTTGCTAGTTCTTATGGATTGTTATAAAAAATTGTAAAATTCTACCAATATTTCGTATGGACTCGTCTTCCAGCATGAACTATCTGGCGTTGTAACTTTTAACATTTTAATCTGAAAAAAGTCTGAATAATTTGAATAATTGTAACAATGCTCAGGCCACAGTAATGTACGTAAATGTACACATGCACATACATGTATAGATTTGATAAATGCAAAGAAGTGTGGAGACTGTCTTTCATTCATTTCTAAAATCCTTTTAATGATCTACCAATGTGAGTCATGGTGCTGTAAGTGCTGGAACATGAAAATGAAAGTCTTTCCAAGCTGAGACAATAGCATAATGAGGTTATTTTACAGAGTCTGAAAAGTCCAAGTGGCTGCAGTGTGGAATGTACTTAAGTCCAGTGCCGGAGCCACAATATAGATGCATAATAACATTGTCAAGCTTTACAGTCATAGAGACCTGGGTTTGAGTTCCAGCTGTAACTATTACCAAATATCATTAGACAGGTTATTAATTATTCTGTGTCTAATTTCCATCCTTTGTAAAATGCCTATAACAATATTAACCACATATATTTGTTGGAAAAATTAAATGAAAAAACAAATGTCATGAAGTTAGAGCTCAATAAGTGATGATTATCATTAATATAATAAATAATAATATATAAAATTAATATAAAAGAAGTTTGGATTTCTTTTGAAGACAATGAGAATGTTTTTATTTATTTATTTATTTATTTTTATTTATTTGAGATAGAGAGAGGAGAGAGAGCACAAGCAGGGAGAGCGGCAGGCAGAGGGAGTGAGAAGCAGGCTCGCCGCTGAGCAGGGGCTTGAGCCCAGGACCCTGAGATCATGGTTACGGGCAGATGCTTAACCAACTGAGCCACCCAGGTGCCCCAACAATGAGAATGTTTTAAAGAAGCTAAACAAAGATGTCTTTTTTCTACTATCCTTTGCAAATACCTTTCTGTTTTCTTGGGCACTCTAGGTTAGGGTTTAGATACTCAAGGACCAAGTAAGTGACAACCATGTGTGAACCAGGCTAGGTTCCAGAGTAGAGGTTGCCCACTGTTCACCTACAGAGCCTCAGTCACTTGCATGCATGCCACAGTTAGAGGGGTAAGGAATCAGTTGAAGTTTCCTCAGATGTGAAAGTGTTTATCAGTTGGAAACAGCATGCCTACTTTTACATTTACAAGCATATTCTAGGAAACCTCAATTATAAATAAACAATGTAGAAAATGCTAAATGCTAGAAGTATATTGTTTTAAATTGCTCATTTAGTAGTCATAAGAAATCATATCAATAAAATAGCTTGATAAGATAAAAATATTGGAAACATTAATGACAATTTAAATTTATTTTTAAAAATAAAGCTGTATGTTAGTTATATGGTTGAAATAATGTTTAATTTATTAACTGTAATAAAATACCAAACTGTAAATAATATATTTTTAAATGCATTCATAGAGCAAAGTTTTAAAAATTGTTGGCATTTGGCAACAATATTAATTCTAAATAGTGGAAATCCTAAAATCTCTGCATCATTTTTAGACTGCTCTTCAAATAACGAAAATTAAAATTTGTCCAAAAGATGTTTTTAGTATTAAACTTCTTAGAAACCAATGTTAATTATGTATTATCAGAACCAATAATTTGTGTTATGGGAAGCTGAAAAATTAATATAATCTTGAACAAAAAGTCAGTGTCTGAACATGAAGTCTTGAAACCATGAAAGGACATAATTGCAGTCAAATCAAACTAGCTCTTTATGGAGCAAGATTGCTTAAAGCTATTAATCCTAAAAATGTAAAGGAAACAGAGTATGATTTTGACCAGGATTGCCTCACATGTCCTTCTACAAGAACAGCAAGTGACATAGAAAACTACCAAGTAAAGTGCATTCAGATGAAGGAAATCCATGTTAAAGCTTTTAGTCCAAAAGACAAAGATAAATCTGTAAACACTGAATGTTTTAACATCATGTTGATTTAAGCTAAGAATGTGGAATATAATTAATGTCTACGTGGAAGTATAAGAGGATACAATTTGCATTGTGTATTTTTTTTCAGGAGCCCTTCACATCTTAATAAAAATAGGAAGTATACTTGAATCAGTACTCATAATATAAAGAAATAATAGGGAGAAAGAGGGAGGAGTGGTGGGAGGGAGGGAAGAATAAATAAATCTCCCAAGCAGAAGACTTTTATTTATGTAGATATTTTACCTTCAAGGTTGAATACAGAATTAGAATTTATGTTGCTACCTTAGGGAAAGACATTTATTTCCAAGACAGCAAAGTTTTTCTATAAATCATTTTTAATCACATACCTCTTTACAAATCTGATGAAACTTATGTGACCTATTCTAGAAGATTTATAGATACTTTAAAACTTTATATAGAGAGTTCCAGAAAAGAAGGAAAATTAATACAATGGCTCAAGAAACAGTTGATTTGGCCTTCCATCAGGCAGTAAAACATGATTGTCCTACAGAGAAGATGACTACAGCAAAATGAGCTGAGACTGAGTGTATGTCCAAAGCAAAGAGGCTTTGCATCTCCAAGAAGTTCTATGCCACGGTTATTTACAAATGTACTAACTGGTTTAATGACTTCTACATATTTGAAAAACAATATCTAGATTCAGGTTGGTGTGACCTACTCAAAGGAAACAAAATCTAGGAGCGATAATTTCTTATTTTATTTGAGAACATAAGTTTTATAAAAGTATGGTATGAAATTCAAATGTTTTAAAATCAAATATCAACTTATTTTTGTTTTATTGTGTAATTGTGGTAGGATAATGCCCAACTCAGTGGGTCATTTCTGGAATTATCTTTGATTCCTAGGATACTGAAGTCCATTTGAGAATGGAAATTCTACCTTCTTCTATCTTTAAGTTCCCCCAACATGTGGTTTTAGTTCTATGAATGACATAAAATACATGATTGAGGTTAATCAAATGACACTTCTTTGTGTAGTATCTACTTAAAATGGCATTCAATAAAAATTGTTATTCAAAATCAAACCTATGCCATCATATGCTTAAGTAGGCTCTTCCAGATTTGTTCAAGAAAAAAATATATAGTACTTTAATTTCCATTTTTTTCTAGAATCACACTGGAACATTTCCTTCTAAATAGAAAACCACAGTAGCTCAAAAAATAAAAGAGACAGATATTTTCAGGGCTACAGCATGAAAACATGAACTCAATTATAGCATACAATGTTTTTACAATGCAGATAATCCACGGAAAGCTGCAAAGATTTCCTAGTTAATCTGTGTTTATATGGTCTAACCAGGGAATATGTTGAATAATTTTAAATTGAGATTAACAAATAGCTACCTGAACAAAATTTTTCTTTAAAATGGGTGAAAGGACCAAAAGAAAACAAATGAATCCTTTTAAGTTACCATGCTGTGAAAAAGAAAGTTGATATTTCTTCATAAACCTCTAGGCTTAGAAGTAGCAGAATAAAGGTCTAAAATAGTGCCCCATTATAAATGGCCTTTAAATTTCTTTCTTTTCATACAACTTAACATTGTCGAATGCTATTTATTTTATTATATTTTTGTATTATGATCTGCTTGCTCCCTCCCTTTAGAAAAAAGTTCATGAAGTCACAGATTTCTGTTTTATTCCATACATTACTTCTTACATGTAAAAGATTGTCTAGGTCTTAGTGGGTGTTCAATCAATGTTTGTTGAACAAATGAAAAGAAAGAATATCTTAGAACAAAGAATCAAATTCTCTGAGGTTAACTTAGTCTTGAAAGCAAGTTATTTTAAAAAAAAATAAATTTCTAGATTATTAACTTTGAATGTCTATA